AACTCCATCAGAGTACCCCCAGGAGTGAAAGCTGCATCACAGTCTGCTGTGCTACTTTTTCCTAGGACAGAATGGACTGTCCCCAAAAAAACAAAGTAGATACTGATTTTTTCCACCACCAAATAACTCCTCTGTCAGTCAACCCACCACTCATTAAAAAACCCAGTGTGATCATTAACTGTCTGTTTCTACTCATCAACCCTCCCCGTCTCCCATTGCCGAGTCTAAGGTAAGCACATAAACAACCCCATGAGACACAATCCATCTCTTCATCACGAGTGTTGTTAACAAGCGGGTAAAAGCTTGGTGTATCAAGCCTGAAGCACGATTCTTATCTGTATTACTATTATGCAATTTTAACTTTTGATACTGAGAAAAACAAGTTCTGATGGGCTGCAGAAAGCCTATCAGAAGATTTATTTTGATAATGCCAAGTAACAGTATCAGATCAGAAACAGCTCAAGAGTCAACCAGGACTGAGTCTCGGCCACAAAAACTAAGCACTACGCAGCCATCCCAAGATCTATACTATATTTGGAAGAACGCTGTTTCTTTCCCTCTCTCACGTTACAAGTTGTTTCATTTACAGCAATCCCTCCTGAAAGCGCCGTGTCTTGCCTACACCAGGCAGTATTTTTAGGTGCAGATGTGCCAACCAAGCTAGACAATCTTGAAAGCCCTAGGAAGAGAGAAATTCTTTACGAAGGATACTGCACGCAGAGAACAAAAATATCCATCTTGCCCATGTAATTTTAACCTCTTGCTTGAAGACTGAATGAATTCATCTGGCAAAAACAATCACGAATGACAAACCTCTTGTCACAGACGCAGCGATGAGGTGCAATTTTTGTTTGCCATGCTTCTAAATAACAGAGCTCAGTCCATCAAGCTTTTAAGCCAAACTCCGGTATCATTTAATCTTAACAGAACAGCAAATGTAGAAGAAAGAAAAAACTACAGACATCAAACAAGAATGTGGAGACTGACCTAGTTCCTGAATCAGAGCTTTAACATCCCTTTCAAACCCATGAATTATGACAACAATTAGGCACAAATTTCAAGTCTTTCTGGAACCTTGCCTGCCAATGACATTTGCTTAGGCTTGCCTTTTTTTTTTTTGAACTTAGGTTCAACCTTATGACCCACTTAGGTCTTCTGCCTTTGCAATGATGCTGGTGAGGGACAGAGTGAGGTACCAACTCTCACACAGCTGCACAAAGAAAAGACTCTTGGAAAGATACACTTATGTCGGTAAAACCGGGCTCCTCCTTCTGAAAGGCATAAAAAGAGGCATACCAAGAGATGCACCACTTAGTTGGCCTAAGTTGCATTTGCATTAGCGTGGCAAAGGTCTACTAAGCCAGGTACAACAGCGGCAAAGTTCTCCCAGCCTCCAAGATGAATCCACAGCATCATCTCGCTGTGCTGTGCCACATCACCAGCAGTGCAGCACGACTCCTCCTGCACGCATCACAACACCCAGGGAAGCTGGCACGCCACACCAACCTCGAGATGTAGTCAGCCGCTCAACACAAGCTGTAGCTTTGGCACTTGCCTTGCAGATTTCCAGCTTGAGATCATAAAGTTCTTGATTAACTTCACAGGTGCTCATCATCTCTGCCACAGCTTTATGAATAAGACTATTCAAGACTCTGCAGCGTATGTTATCTTCTTTCCTAGTTTTTGTCTGGTCATCTTTCATTACAGACGCAAACTTGGTTGGTTTATACATCTAAAAAAACCCAAACACATTAATCAGTAGTTAGAAACTTGTATTAGGCAATTATATACAGTTTTGTGCACTCTAAGTATGCTCTTAGAATGCCATTACCGGAGGTGTGATGGCTTTGTATACATCTCATGCATACCAGGTGCTTCAATAAGGATTATTTCTGTTCACAAAACCTCTGACCTTCACGTATTACAGTGAAGGTTTCTTAGTTCAGCTACTGTGAAGAAAATTAACTCTGTCTTGACTAAAGCCATCACACTTAAGTTTATTATTTTGTAGCAAGTTATGCAGCTCGATAAATCAGTCTTCTAAAACACAGCATATATTAACGGAAAAGCATTGCTTGCATGGAGAACAAACATGAGAACTTGTTTTCCGTAAAACTACGCAGCTATACAGAAGTTTTAATCTCGATCAGTTCTCTGCTGTGTGCTGTGCCCAGAGAATGCTGGCACAGATGAAAGATCAGCGCAGAAGAGGCGACGGCCAAGGGGAGCCAAGCGGCTTCTCTGGACAGCAATCCCAGCACCTCATAGCAAACTGGAGCCCTAGTGCTCACTCACAAAACCCTGCTATTTCTCCGCCAGAAAACTTTTTTCCCGAAGCCAAACACCATGGCAGAAGCACCAGCCTGCTCCTCCTGGCACAGATAAACACAGCTCCTCCAAAGCTTGCACTTACCGTTTTAGGTCCCAGGGTAGGGCTGTCATACCAAAACTTCTTTCTTTTGGAAAAAAGGAAAGGAGACCAGCTTTATCTATCAGCACCTCGGAGAAACAGCGGGTTCCGCGTGTAATTAAAACGCCACCCGTCTGAAGGCACAGGGAGTTTTCCCCTCAGCTCCCGTGCGGTGCGGGGAGCGATGCTGCCCACCCCCGGCGGCAGCCGCACGTGGAGGGGGGAAAGAACAACCCTAAGGTCTGTGCCAGCCTTCCTCTGGCCGGTGTAACTCGGCACAGCAGCGGTATCACGGCCCCGCAGGCACCGGAGGTGCTGCTCGCGAGGCGACTCGCAGAGGGCGGCTCTTCCCCGTGCCACCGGGCACACGGGAGCGCATCGAGCCCCACAGCCCCG